TTTTTAAGTGAAATTTGCACTAAATGCTACTAAAACATATGTCATTTCCAATGTTTTACTTAAATGTTTTTATTTCCTAAATTGTACTTGAATAATGTCTAATGGCAGGAACAATGTCCAGTGATGGTAGACATTTAGTTTAAACAATGTCTAGTGGCGGTGGACATCTAGTTGAACAATGAACAGTGGTACTACATTTGAAAAATAAAAACATATGGTACTACATCAAAAAAGTCACTATATTTTAGTACGGAGTACTATTTAATTACTCCATAATTTGTTAAAGGATTTACAATCATGAATAAAAGTAAGAAATTAGGAGAAAGTAGCATCATTTACACGCAACCTTCCTCACGTAAGAGCCTTTGCCACCCTATGCCAAATTAAAGAGGGCTTTGAGCCACCCCAAGCCAACCCGCTTAGCTTCCCACAAATGAAATCGCCAAAAGTATTTAATTAGAGTGTGTTTGGTTGGTGAGGTGAACATTTCTTCGAGACAAAAAAATTTTCTAAGGAAATTGTTTTTGGAAAAATGCACACGAATACTTCACGAAATTTGTGATTTTATGTTAATAATCTAAAGTTCAATAATTTACACTACTGCTTTCAGAAATTGCTCAATTTTATGTCAATGTTTCGAGCTACCAATTAAGCAAAATATGTGACATTTTTAATGATGATTGTAAATTATTAAATATGTGTTAGCAACTAGGGAGTGATAAAAAAAGAAAATAATGTTCCACATAAAATAAAGAATTTTGAAGTACATATATCATAATCAAATTTATATTTGTTTGAAAGATCTTTAAAATAAAAATTCTTGACTATATCAACTTTAAAATTCTCTAGTTTTTATTTGAAACATTATTCATAAATTATTTGATTAAAATATAAATACTTTATTTTTCAGTTTTAAACACAACTAAACACACTTAAGTGATTGGGTATTCTCACGACGAAGAGGATTGGAAGATCCAGATCAGTATAGGTGTTCTAAATGAGCAATGTAACCATAAGACCAGTGTCAACTGTACGAAACCATTGTTGAAAAGCTCAGTATTTTTTACATTATGAGGTTAAGATAAACACTTAAGAATTAACCTATAGACAAGAGCACAAGGGTTTATAGATCTCCAATATGGAGGGGGGTTGAGAAGGCTAGGAAGGGTAGAAACAACAAATCGCGCGAGTGGTTTCATCCGTTAACACTTAAAGTTAGTGTCAACGAAATCTCACCGATAACGTAATAATAGAATTACAAGAATATGTTTAAAAGATTGACTAGATCATCTCTAATTCCATACCTCTATTATACTACTCCACAATAAATAGTGGAGATTAATTCCATAGATTGTTCGAAATACTCTAGAAATCTCTGTTAGAACGAATACGCAACACTAGAATGGGGAAAATAGTGTCACACTATTATTATTTTTTAAAAAAATATGTACAATGCTCATCTTAGTGTATTTTTTGTTTGATTTTTTAGCGTCAAATTAGATAAATTTGATCATTAGTTAAATGAAAATTCTATTCCACATTATATTACATATTGCTACAAAAATGATTTTATTAAAATTTATCTCATAAAATATTTTTAAAAAGTTTGTTTTATTTTATTAATATACTCGATATGAGTTTTTAGCAAACTAAATAAACACACTACAGATTCAGTACTTCAAAACATTTTTTTAGGATAGGGTAGAATTTGGCCTTTATTTATTTCAAGAATAAAGCTAAGAGTATACCAAAATGGTGTACCCCACTTAAATGTCTATGATCACAGACACTTAGGGCATTTAAAATAATACGAAATTCACCTCGCCCCAGCTTCTACCATATAAGCATTCATGGGTGGCCCGGAGGGTGTGCAAAGTGGCCAACCGCACAGGGCCTCAAAAATTTTAGGACTCTATATTTTTAAATTTGTTAATAATTTTAAAGGAAAAGTATTCTAAAAAATAGGGCCCAAAATGTAAATTTAGGACCAGGCTAATTTTATTTTTTCATTTTTCGAGGCCGACTCTGTAAGCATTCCACTAACTTTTACGCATCGCCTCAAAATTCTGTAATGATATCGCTTTAAAAATCTACCTCTCCATTTTTTACATTATTCGTCAATTTTAATTACATTTAAAGAAAAATTTAAAATAAAAATGCTAAGATTGACATTCTTTATTAAAAATAATATCGATATAAATGATGAAATACATCAAAATATAATTGAAATTAAAAAACGAAAAACATAACAAAAAGATGAATTTTTTAAAATTAATGCTGCAATTAAGTATTGTAGCGCCTCAATATTTCTTTGATCAAATTATCTTGGAGGGTAGCATGACTTTGTTCCTCTCGAATACTTGCACGGCGATTTGCAAAATCTTGTAAATCGGGAGGTGGCCCTTGAGTCGTTGCACCTTGGCGAATGGTGGCCCTCGAAGTGGATGCGACCCCTCATCTATAAAACGGGTGATGTTGGCTATTTTATCCTCAACTATTATGCAGTATAATATATGCAAACATGATGTCCGAGATGAATGATCGACACCACGGGCATGCGGGGGCCTTCACTATCGCCACCGCGATTGGAGGACTCTAAAGGCACGTTCCACATCTTTTTTGTGTAGACTCTTGTTTCTGCGCGAACATTAATGCGCTCTTTGCATTTGTCGAACACATGATTGTTTTCACAGACACCAGCTAGCGTGGATGGATCCCATCGGCCAAATAATATTCCATGTTATATTGGTGATCATTGGCGGTGAATTGCACCACTGGCGCACGTCTAGTGTAGACATCGTTGAATAAAGGAGGCTCATTCAACACATTTAGATTTTTGTTCGATCTAGTGACTCCGAAGTACGCATGCCAAGTCCATAGACAATGGTAATGGTCGACAACAGCCTCGAGCATGATCATTGAGTGTGAGCCTTTGTAACCGCTTCTGAACGCACCCCTCCATGCCACGAGACAATTTTTCCACTCCCAATGCATACAGTCCACGCTACCAATCATCCCTTGAAACCCGCGAACTTGCTCGTGCATATTGACTAACATTTGAATGTCTTGGACTATTGGCTTTCGCAAGAACATATCCTTGAAAGCTTCAATGGCACCTCGACAAAAACACTACAAACATTTTAGGCTAGTAAAATTCCCGATATGGAGATACTCGTCGAGCATTGCAACACATGTGACGTACGTGAGCTATCTAATTGTGATTATGCACGTTTGTAGAGTGGATAGGCCCAGCTGACACCCAGAACGATATTAGAAAAGACATTACGAGCTTTGAGTGTGTCCGCGATTCGAACAAATAATACACGACGCATTTGGAAACACCGATGGAACTGTTCATCAGAAAAACGCAAAACATCAAAAAAATAATATTCAAACAAAAGGGCAGCGACCTGCTCGCGTTCCCGGCAAATGTACACCCGCGTATGTGGAACAAGAGGAGTAGCAGCCAGCGCAGCTTGTTGAGCAATGTCACGTTGCATCTCCGCTTGGACATAAGACAAATACTCATGGTTCGGGCTTATCCACGATCTCATCATTTGTTGGAGGAGGATCCATTTTTTTATTTGAGAGAGATGAAGAGAAATTAAGAAAATAAGTAAATTGACATAGATGAGATTGTGTGAATTGAAGTGGAAGATTTGTTGAATTTAAAGGGTTGAAAGAAAAAAATTTAAAAAATTTAATTCCCGGCACGTTGGACCGCCTGCAGTGGGCGGCCGCCGCGAAAAATATTCATGAATCCAGCGCGGCATTGCACCGTGGTTGGGCGAGCGGCGCGGCGGAAGAGTTGCAGTGGTGGACGAGCCGCGATTCGTTCTTGACAATTGTGCGGAGAGACGAAAGTTGCTTCGTTGTAAATGTCCTTAGTGTATGTGTTTGTGTGGTGCACCATGGCCCCTTTTTTTCAAATGCTAAAAGAAATTTTTTAAATTTTCCCAATACAAAAAAGAAAAAAGTATCAATTGTAAAAAAAAAGAACTTTATGCATTTAAAGATGAAGGGAAAAGAGACAAGTCTTCCTCACTCTCTCCTACACTAGACAACAACACATCGCTGTCTTGTCTTCTTCTCTTCCTACTTCTGCTGCTCCTCTCCTCTCCTCTCATATATAACCCGAAAAGACACAAATACAGGCCTCGAAACAGGTAGCGCTCAACCTCCCCTTTCCAGTTTCACGTTACCCAACCCGACTATTTCCGGGTTGGAATAAAATGTACTCCCTCCGGGGTCTGGGTCTCGACGGCGGCGACTTTACCCACCACCACCACCACCACCACCACCACCACAACCACCAGGCCGTCATGTCCTTGGACGGAACCAACCTTCCCGGAGATGCCTGTCTTGTTCTCACCGCCGACCCGAAGCCCCGCCTCCGCTGGACTGCCGAGCTGCACGACCGCTTCGTCGACGCCGTCACACAGCTCGGCGGACCCGACAGTTAGTTCTCGCTCTTTGATTAATTTCTGCATTATTCCTTTTTAGATAATACCAAAAAAAGATTTCCTTTTTGTTGGGATTTATCTTCTTTCTTTTATTTTTCTTCTTCTCCTCATGAAAGCTGGGATCTTGGATTCTGCAGCTGTAAAATCCTTTTGCTTTTCTTGATTTCTTTTGTCTTTTCGCGTCTGGACAGAAAATTAAAGATTTTATCATTACCCCGAATGAATTTTTTTTTATAAAAAGAATTTGGTTTCACTTTTAGTAAAATTTAATAATGTTGCTTCATATGATTAGGCAAAGACAACCTTTGAATCGCAATAAATGAAGGGGTCTTTTTCAATCTCCAGGCAAATATGATGTGCCCTCTCCCTCTATTAATTAATGTTATTATTGGGGGCTGAGTTGAAAGTGATATGCTGCCAGTCAATTATTTGAACTGTTTTTTTAGTGAGTTGTGCAAGAAAATGAAAAATTTTGTCTATTGAAAAAGATCCATTTTCCCATCTCTTCCTTCTGTAACTGGTAATGATTTACCAAGTAGATCTCAGTCCATTTAATCCACCAAATAATGATTCATGTAAAGTATAAAATCAGCCCAGAACTTCTCCTTGAAGTAGAAATAAGGTCTGCAATTATTTGCTCCCTGGATTTCGTTGTATATTTGGGGTTTCTTGGCTTGCTTCATGAAGGGATATGATGAACTTGGGTCTTTTTGTCTTAAGATTACTTTTTATGCTGTTTCTGAAGGTCATATGAACTTTCGATCCTTGGGTACTGTTTGCTCCTCCCCAATTCAGCATCATAACATTGTTCAAAAGGTTTCATATAGTTGTGGATTGTAATCTTAATTTCTATACACATGTCTAGGTGTTCAATGTATTGTGTTACTAGGGGTAGTTTTAATGGATTACGCTGGCGCCAAAATTGGCTTCATATATTGAAACCTAAAGATTAAAGACCTATTAGTGTTAGTATTTGTGTGTTCAAGATTTTGCTAACTTTTACAAATGTGTTGTTTCATTTGTTTCTCTATGGCAATTTGGGTGCGTTTTGAGTTTGGGTGAAGTTCATTGATCTTGCAGAACATAATCATGTAATGCTTGGAGTGTCACTCTCTGCAGTTTTCAAACATGAAAAATGATGGGATTCTATTAGAGTTGTGGATTAACATACTAAATTAACCTAACAAAAACAAAACAGACTTAATGTTTAGGCCATGGAGCTCTTATAACAGCCGCATTAAGTTAAGCGGTTGCTGTCATAATATGCTATTGTCATGCTTACTATTCTCGTACCATTTTCTCCCGGAAATTTATGGGCCCAAGAGACTAATTCCAATGTTTTTTGTCACTTAAACTTTGCAGAAGCAACGCCAAAGTCAATAATGAGGACAATGGGGGTGAAAGGCCTGACCCTATATCATCTGAAGTCACACCTTCAGGTTTGCCTTACTTTCTCCAACACTTTTTGGTCTACGGGACATATTATACGTCTTGTTCCACCAATTTAGTCTTGGAAATTCTAACATTTCATTTCTTTTTATCAGAAATACCGTTTGGGGAAGCAATCCGCGAAGGAGGCAGCTGAAAACTCTAAAGATGGTATTGATCTTTAGAAAAGTTTCCACCTTTTGTCCCTCACTTTTACTTTTGGTGCACACCTATGAGTCTCTTGCCGCTTTGGTCATTCGGATCACTTACCCGTCCAGTTTTCGGTTGATTTTTGCCGGATAAGTGATCAGAAAAGAGATAAAATGACAAAAGAACCATTGTTTTGAGCCAAAATTTGGAAGAAAAGATAAACAGAGACCATAAATGGAAATGACCAAATAGTCATGGCACCAAAAATAGATGCTTTTCTTGATCTTCATTCTTCAATTTAAATACCATCAAACTAGAAAAGGACAACGGCTTTCATTCTCATTGATTTTTAATACATATATTTTCTGTTATTGCAGCAGCATGTGTATCCGAGAGTCAAGAAACCAGTTCCCCTACGTCGGGCTCATCTAGAATGGTTTCCCAAGAACCAAACGAGTAAATAAATATTTTCTACTAAGAAAAAAAACATACTCATATGTTTTTAGAAGTAGAAAACTTTAGACTTAATAATATCATATCAAATCTTATTTTAAACAGTGGGTACCAAGTTACTGAGGCGTTGCGAGCACAGATGGAAGTTCAGCGAAAGTTGCACGAGCAGCTAGAGGTTTGTTGTTAGTTTTTACCTCCATCCATTCATGTGTCTTGCTAGCATTACACATATATGTGTTTCTATTAGCTTTTTACACTTAGAACTTGCTTGGTAGGGATAAACTTTGGCTGATATGTAAGATAATGTTAATGATATAATCCCACATCGACTACTCCTTCCATTCCATATTAACGGATCATTATGACTTTTTCAGATACATTGAAAAATAAATGAATGTGGACATACTGTGTGTCTACATTCATTCATTTTCCAATGTATCGAAAAAGTCATGATGGAAAAATGATATGGAATTAAGGGAGCATATAAGAATATAAGTTACTCTTCTTACTGTCAATTGGTTTTAGGTTGGATTTTCATAATTTTATAAATAATAATAGGTTCAACGTCGTCTCCAGCTTCGCATAGAGGCACAAAGCAAGTACTTACAATCAATTCTTGAGAAAGCTTGCAAAACACTGAGCACCCAAGCTGTTGTTGCCTCAGATGGATTAGAATCGACCCGCGAAGAGCTGTCCGAACTGTCCATAAAGGTATCCGATGATTCTTCTTACCCAATCTTTCGGGTCCCATCGTTACCAGACATGACTGCCTCACTAGCGGAAATGAAAAAGAGACCGAGGGGTGTGGGGGCCACGGTGGCGGTGCCTTTGGATGGCAATGTGGTGAAGCAGGGGGAGTGGGGGGTGTTGAACGCCGGGTAAGCTAAATGTTAGGGCTGTGTTTGGTTGGTTTTAGTGAAGACCAAAAATGTACTCTCATTAGTTGTCATTTTAGCTTTAACCTGTTCTTCCTTGCCTGCCAATGTCTGTGGAATCCCAAACACAATCTGAAATGTTGCAAGCTGCCGAATCATCATTTGTATATTCTCTTTATGTTTGATGTTCAATTGCCTTTGAATGGAAAACTCACAAGAGACGGCGGAATTTGACTAGATTTATTTTTAATTCAATCCATTTAAATACTAACACATAATTTTAAAATAACATTTATATATTGGACAAGGATCTTTTGACCTTGAGTGTTCGGGTCATATTATGGTCAGGGCACCTACGGTGCTCCATTGGTAAAATTGATGGTTACTTCCCCCGAATCCTCCTACCTCCCTACACCCCATCCCAGCAATCCCTAGATTGCCGATTTGGCGGGGGAGGGAGGGAGGGAGGAAGGAAGAGGAGGGGCTAGAGGGTGCATGAGATGCAAGGAATTAGAAATATCAATTTTACCAACGGAACACTGTATGTGCTCTAAACTATTATATGATCTTGACTTAAAAGAACCGTTGGGTTATATACTTAAAAAATTATAGCAAAAAACTCTACAAGACAAGATTGACAAAACTATATAGAGTATTATTTTAAAAAAGAAAAAAAATGTTTGAATTTGAAATAAAAAGTGAAATAAAATATTTAATAAACACTTCATTTGTCAAATCAAATATTTTCGTTTTTTGTCTAAAAAAGTTTTTATCTTTTTGAATATGTCGGGACCAAAAGAATACTGAGTAACGTCTTTTTAATATATAGTTAATTATATATTAATAACATTTTTTGACCAATGCGTAAAAGATTTCCTTCATGGGTGACTTAATTTACCCTATTCTATAAAAGTATTTTTCATATACTTTTGGTTTTCTTTATTTTCTTTTATATTCTTTTTTCTTTTATTTTAATTTTGATTAAAATAACGGTATAAAATTAATGAACATAAAATAAGAAATGAGCTTTAGAGAAAAAAGAGATAATATTTTATTGATTGTCGTTTATGAAAATGAACCAATAAAGACCTCTTTTGGACAAAAAATAAAAATATTTAATTTAAGACAAATGAAGTGTACGTTAATTCTTGTTATTTAATTAATTTCTATTGCAAACTCAAAAAATTTGATTATTAAAATATTATTAAAAATAAATTTAAAAAAGAAATTGAAAAAATTATGAAAAAAGTAGTAGAAAAATAAGAAAAACAAAAAAAGAGGGGGCGTTTGGCCGAATTTCCAAAATCATAAGGGACAAATGAGCCTTATCATAAGAGGGGCCGTTTGGCCGAATTATGTAAGTTTTAAAATCAAAGAGAGTAATGATGCACATTTACCAAGGAAAATGCTAGAATGCCACCACATGGGTGCTACCAAGGGTGCACCCATGTGATGGCACCCTAGCATGGTCCCATTTACCAAACCACGGGGAGTCATGGTGCAATAAACTCTTATGACAACCTCCAAGCTCCTTTATGGTAACATCAATGATAATCACTTGAAATTAGTAAAAGAGCAATTGCTAAAGTTCTACGGAGTCTTATTGAAAATGCACTACGTACCTCGTATTTCAAAAAGCAATGATGACTAATTGCCTATCAATTTCTCAACCTTTTTTAATTGGGACACAAGAACTATAATAATAACAATAATAACCAAATGGAGTCATTATTGAAATAATTATCTGATAATGACAATGGTGGTTCTAAATAAGGAAAAAATGAAAGTGGTTGTAAAAAGGCGTTGGATTAAGTATATATGTAGGTGGAATGGTAAGAAATTATTGCACAATACTCCTTCAATCTCATACTAAAAGCAAAATTTAGAGTAGTATTAACTTTTTAATTTTACTCCTAACGTGATAGTGGTTAGAATATGAAAGAGTGTGCATAAATGATTAAAAAAAGTGAAGGCGGGTAGAAATAAAAGATTATGTAATGGTGACTAAAAAAATTAAAAAATTATTGAAACAATAAGAAAAATTTTAAAAAATAAAAGTATTATTAAGTACTCTGTAGTTTTTTAGTGGGTTAGCTAGATCATGTGTTATCGTGGCGTGAGGAGAGCACCGCCACCTCCTTCACGCCCCATCTTCCGTTGCCCCTAAATCGTCATGGCCTTCACAATCATTCTCTCCATCTTTTTATTTTAATATACCAATCAAAATAAATATTCACCGCGTCACTTGGTGGTCAAGCCCCCTCTCAAGCCTCATAACACGCATATTATATCCACAGTTATCCGCTTACACGGGCTTACGTGGCACACCATCAAGCCCCGAGTAAGACATAGTCTTATATACATCATCTCTTTCATAGTATATTTTTCATTTTTAGATGTCTCGGAAATAGATAACGCTTACTTTATTCCTTATTTTAAAAATGAATATGTGGCTACCAATCATTCTCTCGTCTAGACAAATTCTAACCATATACTATTTACTTTTCAACAATTTTCTTAAACTCAATGAATTAAAAGTATAAAAAAAATTATAAGCCGGAGGGAGCACCAAATATGAGAGCGTGCCTTATGATTTGAGATGCTCGGTTTAAAAAGTGTCTTTTGGAATATATGAAATTGCGTTTTCTCTATCTAATTAAGAACTATGAAATTGTTTTTTTGCTGTTCATTCCAAAAAGAACTTTACTTACCGTGGATTAAAATTCATTCATATATTTGAAAAGGTTATAATACTCCATCTGTCCTAAAAAGATTATCATAATTTAATTTTTTTATTCAAATTGTGTAACAATTTGATCACAAATTAAATATAATTTTAAATAATTAAGTGTTTTAAAATTTTGATACATATCAAAACCATATTTTAAAATAACCTAATTTTATAAATTACATTATAACTAAATATATTTTTTTTACAATTTATGGTGAAATTATTGCAGAATTTAGATAAAAAAAATTAAACTATGGTAATAATATTTTGAGATGGAATATGTTTATAAGAATAAATATTCTAGTCCAAGCAATCTTGGTATCTTGTGGGCCGGGATTGGATAAACCTGGCAATCCGTGTTAAATAATTGGACTGGAAACAAAGAAGTGTCCAATTAAATCGAATAATTTGATCCAACATTATTTTTTATCTGGGCCAAATTTTGCTCACGCAGTCACGCATAAGGGTAGATGGTTGCTATTTTTTAGCAAAAAAAGAAAAAAGAAAAAAATAAGAAATGCGTAGTATTCCTAGAGTCCGTTCCGTAGGACTTATTTTTTCTACTCATTATTTATTCTTATTAAAATCAGATCAGATCAGACTCAATTAGATCAAATCAGATCCAATCAGATCAGACCATATACTATCAGATCAGATCAGATCCAATTAGATTAGATCAGATCCAATCAGATCAGACCAAATCCAATCAGATCAGATCAGACCAGATCAAATCTAATAATATCAAATCAAGAAAAAATATAAAAGATAATATTTATATTTTTCAAGGATTAAATAATAATTACTATTATTTGATTAAATCACATTACTTTATTTAAAACTACACACACTGAAATCTTAATTAATATTATAATTTTAAATATTATTGTTGTTATATTATTATTATTATTATTTTTATTATATTTCAACTACAAACCATTATTTTAAATAATTGTTTAGCTTGTAGGATAGAAATGATGCATGGAAGCAATGTTAAAGCTCAAAAAGTTTTATTTTTCATACTTTAAAAAGAGTTATTTTAATACTTGTTAATAAAATAATTATACAGAACTTAGTTTTCAAAATTATAAATATTTTATACTTAAAAAACCTACTTTTAAAGTTTAAAATGGTATAATACACACAAGGGTGAGTTTATGAAAAAATTGATAGAGGTGAAAGCGATATTAGTGTTTAAAATTTTATATGATCTTTAATTTGTAACATAAAATATATTATTATGTAATATGTATATAAAATGTGATATTTTTGGAGAATAGCATGAATATTTTCTAATATTTTTTTATTTTAATACCAATTATTTAGTTTCCACACAAATTAAAAAAGTAGTGATATTTAAAAGATGTTTAATATTTTAAAAAAAGTTTAAGCATATTAACGATTAGCTAATTTCATTATTTTACTTTTTTATGTATATATGAATTGTAATACTTTAAAACTATTAAATTTTGTAATAATTTTAAGTTTAATTTAAATCAAAATTAAATTCATTTACACCAGATCTAATTAGAGAAAATCAGATTCAATCAGAACAGATTAGACCCAATCAGATCAGATCAGATCAAACTTCAAAAATTTAGATCAGATTCAATCAGATCAGGCATACGGAAGAGAGCCTTAGTCCTTACTACGTATAAATGAAGGAAATGGTTGCATGACATTGAAAATTAAGGTCATGTAATGATTTGGGAGTGATTCGGTGCCCCGTTCGTAAAATTGATGGTTTCTACCCCTCTAACCCCCGGTAAACCTCCCACCCGCCCTGAATCGAACACACCCCTTCAATTGCCCCACCCCCCTGAGTTAATTTTGAGTTTGGAGTAAATTTTTTAACTCTAAAGTCAAAATTAACTTGGGGGTGTGGGGAGGTGTTTGGTTCGGGGCTGTGTGGGGGGTTTACAGGGGCGGTTAGGGGTGGTAAGAACCGTTAATTTTGCGAATGTGGCACTGGAGCACCCTCGAATCATTCATTTTATGACACTGATTCCCAATGTCATGGGAACCAAAGGGATAAATGAAACATACTTTTTTTTAAATGTGAAACATTTTCTTTATTTACATATGCTTATAATTTTTTATTCTTCAAATATTAATTAATTAATTAATATTACTTTCTGCTCATAAACCATTTTTTCACTTTGACTTAACTTAAATGAAGAAACATATGATAGAATTTAGAAAGAGGAAAGGGTTACTAGATTGGGCCTTTAAGACACTTGAATTCAATCACATTAAAAGATTGAATCGAATCGATTACTAAGTTCAACTCAAAAGTTTATATACCGGTTATTTTTTTATTCAACTTCTAATGTGGGATAGACTCTAATACTCCGCCTCGAGTGGATTACCAGACCATTTTGAATCTAGCCGATCGACCACTTGCAAATGGACTCTCAACCAGACCATTTTGGGTTCCTATATACTCCGTATATTTATCTTTCTGTTTAAAGTTCTCCAAAAAGGAAATACAAGCCATATTTCTGCAAACCTTTCATGGTATCGAAGCTTGGCAAAATTTTGATTGTCATATAGCCGATTCAGGGCAGCGATCGATA